AACAAGCTAGTCTGCTTTAACGTTGTAGCATTATTAGCTTGAGATACACTCAAATTATTCTGACAGCCATACAAAGGATGGTTTGAATCTCTTAAGTTAGTTATTTAACTTACGCTTTACTTTAATACAGGCCTAGGTTTAGTTGGATATTAAAATGAAGTCAACAGCTAGGCAGATTAGCTTCATGGCTAACATTAAAACACTCCAACTAGGCTTAGCAGGCTAAAATCAGAAAGAAGCCAACTCGTGATGTATTCTACAATGTAACTCACCTGGCATACACAGAAATTCCTCTTTAAATGGGGCTCCTTAGGGTGTTCATACAGACAATGATCTTCTGTTGTTATTTTGTCGGCTACCTGGCTTGGAAATCCGGTAGTCTTTTCCGTTTTTTGACAGCTCACTTCCGGTGGCCTGAACGACCAAAGTTAAGCAGAGAAGTGTAAATTAGCGCCCCTAGTGGCCGTGCCCATTTGTGGCGAAAGACCATAATAAAGTCAAAAGCAACAATATTTGTGTGGAAAATGCTTTGGACTATGCTAGAGTAAAATCAGCGGTGTTAAAATCATACGAACTGGTTCCTGAAGCGTATCGTCAACAGTTCAGAAGTTGGGTCAAGTGGGATAAGCAGACAAATGTGGAGTTTATCCGTGATTGATACTGTGGTTATTTCACCTCTTAATGCGTGCGCTGGATGCAGAACAAAATATATTTTGAATCGAGCACGAAACGACAACTTGTCGCATCTTTTCCACCTCTAACTCCTGCTCAAACTGCATGGCCAAAAGCTCTTTTTGCTGCTCAAACGTCAAACCAGCTGTCTGAACCACCACCGGCACGAACCCCCATTTGTTATGACCAGGCCACAACAAAGAGGAGACACACCATGTCAACGGTTAGCAAAATATGTTTATTTAAACAAACAATTCAAATCAACCAAATTAATTAGGTGCAAAACAAGTAAAGTATGAGGTGTGGATGTCAGTGGTATCAGTAGTGTAAATGCAGGGTGAGGATTTATGGACATGTATGAGTGTGAGAGTGTTGAAGTGCACAAAGTGAAGCAAAGAAGAAACTCATAGCATACTCAACAAAACCGGGGTGCCTGAAGGGAGAAGCAGTGAGGAGCAGAGGCTTTAAATAACTGCAGGGCACCAGACCCAGGTGCCCTGAGTTACTGCAATCAAGGCTATCAAGGAGGCTGGATGCAGCACAGCCACACCAGAGTCCTGCATCGGGTCGGGTACCCGCGACGGGTGACCCGCAAAAAAGGTGATTCGCGGGTGGTATTTTTTCAAACGCTTTTTTTCCGGGTTCGGTTCTGGGTAAAACAAAGATGATGCGGGTCGGGTCGCGGGTATTGCATAATAAATATATTAAAATAATAATAATTTAGTTTAATGTTTAAAATCCTCAGACCTCTCCCCCGCGGGACCGCGCATAATCATAACCTCTGCAGCGCATCAATCTGCTGCTGTGCGCGCCACATTCGAAATGGAGGTGAAGCTCTCTAGCGGAGAATACAGCATTTTCAATAACACTTCCTCAAGAGCGAAATCCAACGCCTGGGAGGCTTTTGGTGTCATCCTAGATGGAGAAAATAACCAACATCCCACGCTTTTTGAGACAAATATGCAACTATGTGTGTTAATAATTGCACGTTTTGACTGCTCATAGGCCTATATAGGCGGGGTCGGCTTACGGATCTTGTGCCGACGGGTCGGGTCGGGTTGCGGAACTAATTGGCAATATGTGCGGGTAGCGGGGCCGGGTATGGCGTTATATTTGTGCCTCTATCCTGAGCGCGCACTTGAACAGTTTTGAGCACAGAGAAATATATTTTCTCTCGTAAAACTCCTGCTGCGTGCGCAAGCAGACCGCTGCACGCGCTCTCTCTCCCCCGCTCGCTCGACCTCTCCAGCCTGCGCGCGCTCAGCTTTGCCTGCGCTCGTTCAAGTTGTCACAGCGAGAACTCGAGAAGGTCAATTCTGATTGGCTGGTCGTCTCCAATCATATCTTCTATCTGAGATGAGAGAGAGATTTTCGGTTGCCATCAGGCTGTTGACGTTCTTATTACACATCTATCGTTGACATTTACAGGACATGACAGACTCGAATGAAGAGAATAGCACGCCACAGTGTCAGGTGAGTTATACCTTTCTAGTTTTCTGATATCACGTTATTGTTTGCAATGCCTGAGTTTGCTAGCCGGCAACATAGCTATAGGGGTAGTTTAAGCAAACCGCTAACAAACCGTAGCCTACATGTAGCTACATGAACCCTTCTGAGGTATTGATTACTTGCTGTAAGCATTAGAGGTGGCAGAATGACAAAACATGTTTCTCTCTCTATCACAATGTTGGGTTGACCAGAACCTGTACCAACTTCTGTTTGCTGTTCTACAATGGGCATATGCTTGCGTTAATTTTCAACCGGACAGATGAGGCTAGGATACCGGCTAAAGTTAGCAACACACGTTAACCATGAACAGCCTATTAATCCGTTCTCTTAATGTTATTTCTTCCAACGTAGTGGAATTAGAGAAAAGGGGCTTCTTAACGTGCTTTTATCCGGGGTGGAGGGAGTTACATATTAGTTAAATATAACATTGGGGCGTGTGATTGTAGTGGGTGGAGAAATGAGGATATCCATTTTGGAGTTCCAGCTAGTATAATATAGTTAACGTTACACAATAATAAGGAAGAGAGCTATTTGTGTGATACATCGCCATTGATATGGATTTAGAGTGGATATTTGAGACTTCCAAACAGTAAACTAAAACGTAACTTATGGGTGAGTGTTTTTAGCAGAGCCATATTATGTCCTTGTGATTCTGTTGATTATTACCTGTCTGTATTATATTGCAGCTCAGCTGATGTTGGATTGATGGCAAAGGGAGAGGGACTTAAGTGAGAGCGAAAACACAAGGTAAGTTTAAAATAGGTCAGCAATGTCCCATCCTATAGGTTGCTAGATGTATCTAACCCTTTCTCCTGTCTCCCTCTCTCAGCACAAGAACCCCACGGGGATTCAATGGAGCCTGAAGACCTGCACTGAGACCCTCACCCTGCACCTGAGTCTCACCTCCCAGAGCTTTGCAAGCCTCTCCCTGTTCCTTATTTTTATTAAACAGACATTAAGCTTCCCAATGGTGTGGTCTTCGTTTTGTGAAAAATATGATTACCTCACATATGTTGTTGCTGTTGTTGTCTTTTGTGATAGTTAAATTGCTCCTGCTGACTTGAGCCAGCCATTCTTTCCTCCTCTCTGTGTCAGTGGGGAAACTTTACATTCGTACTCCTTTCTCTGAGCGCTTGGAGCATCCCCAGGCAGCACAGCAAACCATGGGGGAGACGATATGCCAGGACAACACGGAGGAAAAGGCACAGACAAACTGCATGATATGCTATTCAATGTTTATTGAATTCCATTTATTTACATGGATGTTCCTAAAACAACACAAATATCATCATCATCATCATCATGCTGCTGCTGGTAGTCCTTTGATAGGCACCTGCCGGTCTCCTGTCCTTTCTGAAAGTCATAAAGATTACATTAGTACTTTAGATTACTTAGGTCCTCTATTACCAGGGGATTACTGAAACCACCATGAATTGTAGAAATGTATCTAATCAGAATTTTTAAACCTTCCTTCCCTCCCTCTAAATATATCAATAAACATTAGGATGTGATGCTCCTGACTACCATACAAGTTTAAGAAGATAATATTTGTTTTAAAGAATTCAAAGCAATAAACAACAGGCTCTTTAACCAAGGCAACGTTAGCCTAACATGTATGTTAACAGGTAAGATAGCTGTTCACACTGTATATTTTCTACGTTGTAATGCTATGTTATTTCTATTTAAGATGTTTACATTTTCGATTGTTTAATTATAGTCTTTTAACTGTCTAATGTACAATGCCTCCTTGTCTTTTGCTGCTGCAGCGTAAACATTTCCCCAATTGGTATCAATAAAGTAGGCTACTTCTTATTTTATCTTAATCCTCAAATATTAGCACTTTTTTTTTTAAAAACACATTGATGTAACTACACACATATCGATATGTTGTATACATATTGCAAATCAAAACCTTTATTGACCACTAATTACCAAAAATTGCATTTATATCCTGTTATTAATGCGTTCAAATCGTGATTCAAATGGCCCGCCACGAACTTCCGGGAACTTTCTGAGTCTCTCTGAACCACGTGACGATCAAGCATTTTGGACTTCCGCTGTCGCAACTCTTCTCTCTACATGGCGCTGGACCAGCCAATCAGAATTGACCTTCTCGAGTTCTCCGATTGGTTGGTTTTGTGGCACATTTGTAACGCTGTGACAACTTGAGCGAGCGCAGGCAAAGCTGAGCGCGCGCAGGCTGGAGAGGTCGAACGAGCGGGGGAGAGAGAGCGCGTGCAGCGGTCTGCTTGCGCACGCAGCAGGAGTTTTACGAGAGAAAATATATTTCTCTGTGCTCAAAACTGTTCAAGTGCGCGCTCAGGATAGAGGCACAAATATAACGCCATAGCCGGGCGGGTTCGGTATTGCACGTCGAGGGTGCGGGGCGGGAGCGGGTCTTGAAAATCAGACCCGTGCAGGACTCTGAGCCACACCCTCTCCAGATGAACCAACAGGGGCATCACAGAAATAAATAAACAAATAAATGTCGTTGTCAAAAATATAACACTAAATACAAGAAAACTAAAAATGCATACATTATTTGATTGAAACATTAAATATATAATGGTTAAGAATAATGTTGTATGTGTGTATTGACAAAAATCCCTATCTACTTTGATAAACCATTAATCCTTTCAGACTTGTATTTCTATCAGTTTTCATTCTATAGTTCCAGCTTCTCAGATGTGAGGATGTGCTTCTCTCTGCTGCTGGATGGTCGTGTTGTGCAGGAGATGTACCCTCTATGCTGTGCTGCATAGAATATATCGACGTGTAATTAGCCAGAACCCCGTGCACAGCCGACCAATCAGGAGGCGGAGGAGAGGCTGTCCCCGGACCGGCTGGCAGAGAGCAGACACCCCGGGGAGAGTGCTTCTTCGGCCGCAGCCCTGTGGTGGTGACAGCCCTGACAGCGACTGGAACAGGTCCGCACTTCACTTCTCCGTCTCTTTAGAGCAAGGTAGAGGTTTATGTAGCTTTTATCCTAATTTACATTACTTTTATAACACACAGGCAAAGTTGTCGGGTAATTGTTTAGCCTCTTTCTGTACTACCGGCTTGGATGGCTCTAAACTGTCAAGCTAGCTAGGACCTAGCACACAAGCCCGTACTTCCTGTAGTGACTTTCAAAGTTAAAACTTGTGTGACCACTATGCGAGGTCAAATAAACTTGGTGAGTCTTTGTAGTTTTATTATGAAGGCAACATGTATGTGTTCCGTTGTTGTGCTAGCATCCCTCAGGTAACTTAACGAGCCGCTGTCCCGGAGGTGGCAGGAGGATTTAACTCGATGTTATGCTCAGTATCGTCCCCTGAACTGACTGCATATGATGTCTGGTGGTACTCTCTGCCGGTTTCATTCAATGAATCACGACTATTTTAATTAAAGGTTTGTACAGAAAATAAATAAGACAGGGCAACTTTATCCAAATAGTTTCAGTTCCCATAGGGTGTGGAGCACAGACGTGTGACGAGTTACGTCATTCGTAGTTTCCCTGTCCCATCCGCTGCCTGCGCTGCAAAAAAATCAACAAGTGGCCGAAACGAATCTATTGCTGGGAAATGTCTTTTTAACCACTATCGCGAATCTGAAATGTATATTTCAGTTGTTTCCAGTAAAGTACACACTTTTTTGTTCATAGATGCCTACCATTAAAATAACTTAGATTTCGGAATTCTTCAATTCAAGGTATAGCTTTAACACAGAAAGGGTCCCGACTGAAACAAGGGCGTCTTTCTAAACACTCAATGCAAAGTTGGTGAGATAGACTACTCCTGAAGTGATTAATTTCCATTCCAAATTATTTTTGGACGACTAAAACGGTGTCAAAAGGTTGGCCACTACAATATTGTACTGGGCAAACCCTTTGCATAAATATGAGGCTGTTTGTTGAGGGTGTGTCTCTTCATTCAGAACTCAAGCCTCAAGCTTCTTTTATCATATCAAGATATTGAGATGTAGCTTTTATTACACTTTTCTCAAAGCTTTAATTGACTCAGGTTTGTCCCAAAAGGGTTTTGTAAATTCATCTTTGGGGTGGTTTGGTTTGCAGCAGCCAAGCTGATTACCAGCAGGTCATTGATAACAACCACTAATAAAAAATGAAACACACTACATATCAATAAGCACAATATCCAGTTGATGTTAAATAGATTTTTCCCGAAATTGCAGTTGATTTGTTGTACTAAATGATTTAGATGCCAGGTGTGAAGATGATTACATTTGCAACTAATATAAAACATTTTGTTTATTTGCTTACAAATGTATTTAATTATTTTTCAGATGGCTGACGTGGAGCTGGTGAAGAAGATGCTGCGGGCCGTCCTCCAGGCCAACAGAGGAGGAGTGTCACTGTCACGTCTGCAGTCCGAGTACAAAGAGCTGACCGGGGAGCAGATACCGCACAAATTGATGGGACACAACCACCTGGATGCACTGCTATCCAGCATGCCCTCCGTGGTCCGCACAGAGCGCGGCCGCTCTGGAGAGGTGTGTGTGGCTGCTGCAGGATTGTTGATGATTAAGGATAGATGCTTAGCAATAATAAAATAAGATTATTCTGATTATTTTTTACATAAGCATATTTCTTCATTGCGCAATGTCTCCAAATACAGTGTGCATCATTTGGATAAGATACACACACCTGGGGGTTAATACGAGGTTATTCCTTTTTCTACCTTGTGATGTATCTTCAATGAATATCTATCTACTCCTCTCTTTCCTGCAGATTTTATGTTTTGCGTCGGGAACAAAAGAGACGGCCCACATCGCTAAACTGGTGGCTCGTCAGCGCAGCTCGAAGAAGACAGGCCGACCCAACCTGGTCAACACCCAGATGAGGGTCAAACCGGCGGCCCCGCTCGTACTCAATGGTAAGATTTTAGAGCACTAGCAAGCATAAAATAGCTACATAGTCAATTTTATTTAACTGATTTTACAAATAATGATCAATCCAATATGTATGTATATTGTTGTTGTTATTGAACATTTGTTTGCATGGAAAGCTTTGGACTAGTCACTCGTCTCACATTAAGTCCAAGTTAAATCAACTTATGCAGGGTTTTCAACACATTACAAGTTGCCCTTTGTGGATGTTGGAGAGAAAACATATTGGCAAGGTGATGGTTTAGTGTCTAATGGCTTAACCATTACAGTATTCAACAGGAATACAGTTTCACAAGATTCACACACCACTTTAATCGTATAGGCCTTGCCCTTTAACAGCCTCGTCTGGAAAACACACATTTAGTTATTTGCAATTACACAGATACTTACTTAGTAAGTATCTAACCCTAACCCGAACCCTGTCACAAGGTGCCTTTAAATCACTTAGGTTTTGGATTGAAGGTTGTTCCAGTAGCTGAATTTATATGCAAGGTCTGCTGTATAGTGTGTATCTTAAACTCTAAATGTGGACTAATATTTCAAAACTTGTAGAATTTCTTCTTAGATGTTCTGAAAAGAGTAACTGCCTGGCTGCATGATTAAAAACCTGTTTGACAACATGCCAAAGAGAACTTTGGATTAATATCAGCACTGATATACACTGCATGCTGTGTGACACAATATTCCTCATGACTTCCTAAGTCCATAAGTGATTGTTGTATACAAAAGATCTGCTCTTTAAAGTCCTTCCTGCATATTGATGATGGAAGAGCAGATTTGTTTATACTTTGTATGTGTTTGTACAGCAAAATATTAGACTGACCAAGTAAAATCAGCCAAGTAAGCTTCATCCTCTAAATCCAACTACTCCTTTTCTTGACATTTTCTAAACCATTTTCAGACTCCTCTTGGGGCTGGTGCTACAGGGCAGTAGCGCTGTAGCAAGAGAAAACGAGAAAGGGTCTACTGTCTGTATTAGTACTGTGACAATGCAACTTTAACAAATGCTTTCTGTGGCGCAGCCCGACAGTTTGGGGATGAATGCCTGGCCTACTTGAACTGTTGCTCTGTAGGGAAATGCAGCTCTTCAGGCACCAAGAATATTAAACACACACATCCAAGCAGGTGTATCCGGTTAATATGTGAACAAAGATATCTGTTGAAATGCACTATTGCTGTATGACCACATACAATACTGAACCTTATTCATCTTTTTTTCAACTGTCTTTGTTAATGACACATTCATATACCATAACTGTCATATGCAAACATGCAAGAAAAAACCTCAGCACATTCACAGACACACATAGACACATGTACAGAAACGTCTTTTCAATGTATACGCCTCTGCTAGATTGTGTGTCTGCAAAATATTCCTAGAGAGTCAGAGTAATTGGGGAGGTGGTAGAGCAGGGATGAGAGGGAGGAGAGGAGAATGTTGGAGAAGAAAAAAAGGAAGAAGGGAGGGGGAGTCAGAGAGAAGGGAAGAGAGAAAGAGAGTCGGGTGTTGAGATTTGAGGCTAACGCAGCCTATAGCTGCTGAGACTCAGCTGCAAGCGAAGAGCATCTGCTTCACAGATCAACCTCTTCATCTGTGTCTCTCATTCTCTCCTCCACATCCTCACCAGGATATTGATATTCAGGCAGAGACACACCAGGGACTGTGTGTCCACGCTGGTGAGGTGACGCCGCATCTGCTCTGAATGAGTGTGCTCTTCATTGCCTGTGTTTGCATGTGGATTTATCTGCGTGTGTGACTGTCCAGTTTCTGTAACGTGAACGACTCCTTCATTTGCTGATTGATTGATTGATTATCTTCCTACAGCACATCATATATGAGCATATTCACTCAGAGAGAATAGAAGACACAGATGAAGATAAAGTAAAGAGACAATAGGAGGAAGAACTGAAAAAGATGAGGGGGCGTGGGAGTGGAGATGACTAAGGGTTATGCTCAACACATGGTGATGTCACTTCCCAGAGATGTGGTGTCATGCTTTAACAACATTGTGTTGAGGTGCTAGTGTTCGGATTACTGCACTCTGAATTTAGAGCATTTTACTGAACACAACACATTTCACAATTCATAAGGGTTGGTAGGCACTCCAAATACCCAAATATATGTGCACAAGCAGAGTGAAAATATCTATTTTTTATCAAATATATTTCATATACACAGACGCATTTAAGAACATTCGTGATATTGTGCTATTGTTGATTGCAGGCTCAATGATTAGAGTTAGGATGTTGTTCATCAGGTCTAAGTGGCCTTAACATATCTTTGTATCTATAACTCTGTGCCCTACTGAAAACACACACACACACACACACACACACACACACATACACACACACACACACACACACACACACACACACACACACACACACACACACTGTCTCAGGATCAGATTCAGCTGAGTCAGTGTGTGTGCTTGAAGTCCTTACTTCTCTTGTTGCTTTGTCTTTCTGTATGCAGCGAAACCTCAAACCTCTCTGAGGCAACCAAACCATCGCGGTCGAGGCGGGGGTCGAGGCGGAGGTCGAGGGGCGGGACATGGAGACAGACAGGCAAGAGACATGAGAGATGGCCAATCAGAGGGGAAGACTGGGGCACATCCAAACAAGATGTCCAATCAGAACACACCCAACAAGAAGGTGAACCCACCTGCAGAGAAGTGAGTGAGCGGGATGGTTAGAAGATGTGTAACCATTTGAAAATAGATGGTTTCTTTATATATTCTGGTTCTCCCCCTCTCTCTGTCTTTACTCTTTACACATCTTTCCCCTTTTCTTCCCCATTTTTATGTTTACACATGTACAGTAGTTTGTTCACCTCCTTCTCTTTCTCAAACTCTCTGCCGTAAAGTCATTGGTAAATTGCTCATCATTTCTTTTATCCCCCTTTACTGGTTAATGTCCTGAATCTATTTTCCTTTTCTAAAATCAATACGTTTGGCTTCAGAGTCCTGCTGTCATTAACCTGGATAAAGTGAAAAACCTGATCCAATGCTATCGAAGAAGCCAGAAGCATTGCGAGATATAATCTATCTGCATTGCTTAAACAATGCATCTAGATTAATGCAGCTCACTGACTGGCCCTCACTTCCATCCATCCACGGCTCTGTTCATCTAACCACTGTGAAAACATCTGACATCAGTCCTCTGTCAGTGTCACCGTGGGTGTACAGTATGCCGCTGACCCTCCGCAGCACAATGGGGCGGCAGGGTGAGAAGCATGGTGAGCTGGCAGGGGACACGAGACCAGTGCAGGGGGGGTGAGCCCTTTATAATCCTCTATTCTCTAGTAGATTAGCGCTTTTAAACCGACACAGAGTGAATCAGCACATCTCTCTGTGTCCCTCCAGAGCTTCTATTTGACAGTTTGCTGTCAGGCCAGCGTTATCATTATATGTGTGTCTATGTGGGCGTCCCTGAAAGTGAACCATGGGATGCATGTAGAAGGCTTGAGTCATGAAGAATTACAGTTTTAATACTTTACTTAAAATTAAAACATTCATGAAAGCTGGTGGAATAGTGTAGAAGGGACAGAGGATGAACTCGGGGCGAAAACATACAATATTTCTCACTTATGAAACGCCTTTTGGACCGTAGTTTAGTTATTACATTGCATTTAGCTGACGCTTTTATCCAAAGCGACTTACAATAAGTACATTCGACCAGGAAGACACAACCTTGAAGAAAACAGAATCATATAAGTACATCAGGTTTCATAGAGCCAAACATTTCAAGTGCTACTCAACTGGCTTTAGATAAGCCAATCCTTTATTAGTATATAAGTGCTTTGTTAATAATTCTATCGCTCGAAGTGGAGTCGAAAGAGATGAGTTTTCAGTCTGCGCCGGAAGATGTGCAAGCTATCTGCTGTCCTGATGTCAATGGGGAGCTCATTCCACCATCTTGGAGCCAGGATAGCAAACCCACGTGTTTTTGCTGATGGGAACTTGGGTCCCCCTCGCAGCGAGGGCGCAAGCGAGTCGTTTGGCTGATGCAGAGCGTAGTGCAAGCGCTGGGGTGTACAGTTTAACCATGTCCTGGATGTACGAAGGGCCAGATCCATTCGCAGCATGTTACCGGAAGCCAGTGAAGGGAGCGGAGGAGTGGAGTGGTGTGGGAAAATGTAGGAAGGTTGAAGACCAGACGAGCCGCTGCATTCTGGATGAGCTGCAGAGGTCGGATGGCACATGCAGGTAGACCAGCCAGGAGGGAGTTGCAGTAGTCTAGGCGTGAGATGACGAGAGCCTGGACCAGAACCTGCGTGGCTTTCTGAGTCAGCTGGGGACGTATCTTCCTGATGTTGTAAAGCGTGTATCTGCAGCAACGGGTTGTAGCAGCGATGTTTGCAGTGAAGGACAGGTTGTTATCTAGGGTCACACCCAGATTCCTTGCAGTCTGAGTCGGGGAAACAACACAGGTGCCGATGTTGATAGTCAGGTCAAGAGTGGGACAATCTTTTCCCGGAAGGAAAAGAAGCTCAGTCTTGTCAAGGTTGAGCTTGAGGTGATGAGCAGACATCCACTGAGAGATGTCAGCTAGACAAGCAGAGATGCGTGCAACGACCTGGGTCTCTGAGCGGGGAAAAGGACAGAATTAATTGGGTGTCATCAGCGTAGCAGTGGTATGAAAAACCATGCGGGCTAATGACTGATCCGAGGGAGTTTGTGTACAGGGAGAAGAGGAGGGGACCAAGAACAGAGCCCTGAGGGACCCCTGTAGTTAATTGACAAGGGTCGGACTCAGACCCTCTCCAAGTCACCCTGTAGGTACGGTCTTTCAGGTATGAGGTGAGGAGGGAAAGTGCAGAGCCTGAAACTCCAAGTTTTTGGAGAGTGCGAAGGAGGATCTGATGATTCACCGTGTCGAATGCAGCAGACAGGTCCAACAGGATGATGACAGAGGAGAGGGATGCTGCTTTGGCAGTGTGCAGTTCCTCAGTGACAGCAATGAGAGCAGTTTCTGTGGAGTGACCTGCCTTGAAACCAGACTGGTGCGGATCCAGAAGGTTGTTCTGATGGAGATAACAGGAGAGTTGTTTAAAGACAGCGCGTTCAAGTGTTTTAGACAGGAACGGGAGGAGAGAGACAGGCCTGTAGTTTATAACATCAGACGGGTTGAGAGTGGGTTTCTTTAGGAGAGGGTTTACTCTTGCCTCCTTGAGACTGTTTGGAAAGTGACCAGAAGTTAGAGAAGTGTTGATGAAATGGGTGAGAAACGGTAGAATATCAGGAGCGATAGTCTGAAGGAGGTTTGAAGGGATAGGGTCCAGAGGACAGGTGGTAGGGCGGGCAGAGGTAATGAGGGTAAGAACCTCACTTGGAGAGAGAGGGGAAAAGGAGGTTAGTGTGTGGGTGGAAAGGAGGGTCTGGTGACCCAGCGGTGAGTAAAGGTGAGTCAGAAAAAGAAGAGCGAATATCATCAACCTTTTTTTCAAAGTGGATAACAAAGTCGCTTGACAGAAGTGAGGAGGGGGGAGGGGCTTTTGGAGGGTCCAAGAGGGTGGAGAAGATGGAAAATAGTTTTTTGGGATTGGAATAGGAAGATTGGATCTTATCTTGAAAGAAAGTGCTTTTTGCCTGAGAGATCGAAGCAGAGAAAGAGGAGAGGAGAGCCTGATAGGTTAGGAGGTCGTCACGGTGTTTGGATTTCCACCGTTTCCGCTCTGCTGCCCTAAGGACGGTTCTATTAGCACGCAGTGCATCATTTAGCCAGGGAGCAGGAGGGGACTGACGAGCCTGCTGAGATGTGAGAGGACAGAGAGAGTCCAGAGAGGATGAGAGAGTAGAGAGGAGAGATTCTGCAGCAGAGTTTGGAGGCAGGAGTTGGAACGAGTCAGATGAAGGGAGGGCTGAGAGCACCGATGAGGCAAAGGTAGAGGGGGAGAGGGAACGAAGGTTACGGCGGACAGGTGCAGGATGGGAAGAGATTAGTTTGTTATGTTTGGAAAGGGGTAGAGAGAATGAAATGAAGAAGTGATCGGATGTGTGGAGCGGGTTTACAGAGAGGTTAGAAGTAGCGCAGTTCCTTGAGAATATGAGATCAAGGACGTTGCCAGCTTTATGAGTTGGTGGGGAAGGAGACAGTGAGAAAGCAAAGGCGGTTAACAGAGATGTTAGTTCGTCTATCTTCCCTGTCTGGAGGTTGAAGTCTCCGAGAAGTACAGCGGGAGGGCCAGTTTCAGGGATGTGTGAGAGGAGATGATCTAATTCCTCCAAGAAGTCCCCCAAGGCGCCTGGTGGACGGTTATGTAGTAACTTCAGAAGTTCAGCCATGTGTTTATAAACAGATGGCTATTTAACACAATGTAGAAATCTTCCGGTACATTCTCAGTTTGTCTGAGTTTGCTGTATCTCACGACTCGCTGTTGTGATACTGAGGATAATCCAAAACAGACTCTTTCTTTAACTATTAGTTATCTTGTCAAACTTTGAGATGTTATCAGAGGGTAGAAGAAGATAACTATGCTTAGTCTGATGAGATAATGATCCGACGTGCAGCACATAGTCAGGCCTTCAAACTGAAGTCAGAAGTGATTTTTAAAAACCATAAACAACGATGGATGGAAAATGTTGTAGCTTTTAATTGTTCAAAAAAGTAGAATCACCTAGGTAACATTCCTCCTTGTTCTGTTCTCTTATGTCCAGGTCGGAGAAGAGGATGACCCTCTCGTCTCGGTTTCAGAAGGAGGTGCATGCTCACCTTTCCAGAAACCCCCAACTGACCGGTCGTAAGTAGGACAGGCTGCTTTTTAATGCTCTAAATATACATTTTTTATGTAGAACTTCAGACAATTCCGTGTCAGGCCAGTTATTCCCAAGCATTACCAAAGTACATTTGAGACTAAGTAAAGGACAGTTTACCAGTGTCATGCTGTGCTATCTTTATCTGGGTATCAATCGGCTCTATTTAGGAACTCTATCATTTAAAGCAAAACAAACTACAACCGTATTTTATTTAGTTCTCGGAGCTTTAAAGTTTTCAGGTTATTTCAGCTCCCACGTTTATGTCATCTGTCAGCCACTCTACTCTTTACTTAACTAAGAATGTGTTAGTTGTCATGTTTCCCATTTGAAGAAGGTCTTCATAGCCCGGGGGAACGCGCTGGAATGTAATAATCTGCACCTTCAAGGCACACATGTTTGAAAGCTCCAGCCATTTCAAATGTTTACTTCTGACCACTCCTGCCAGAAGAGTGTTTAACATGTTGACACTGACTGGTACTCTGGTAGCCTGTGCTTACTGTATGTAAAGAAACAACCCTGATTAGAAATTATGCAAGACCTAAGCATACGATGCATCCACATGTATCACAGGCAGGAAGATCAATAGAGTAATTGCATCCGTGTTTATATGTATTTTCTTATTGTGTTTTTTGCAGCACCATTGAATCTAAATGAGAACCTCGGCTCGGGGAAAGGAAAGCCCTACAACCCTCAGCAGGTCCAGGGCCGCATCAGAGAGATCTTGGGGAAGTACAGTAACGGCTTCTGGGTGTCCAAGCTGCCTCAGATCTACAGAGAGCTGTATAAACAGGACATGCCCACTGAGGCCATCAAAGACCTGGAGACCTGGACACACATATGCACTGTACGCTATGTTACTACAGCAATATTTAATATTATAAGAAGCAATTTCCTTTTCAAATTCAATAACTTTGTGATAAAACAGATAATACAGTGCGAATGGAAGGCAGCATTACATCAGTAACAGAAATATATTTTCCTAAGATACATTTTGGTGCTTGGCAGAGGTCTTCAAACTCACTCTTGTCAAGTTAATACCAATCCTAAAAAAAATTTTTTTTTCAATAAATCCTTTCCATTTGTTTCCTAGGTAGAGAAAACCTGCAGCAGCAACCCATCAGAGCTGCTACTCTACCCTGCCAAGGGCAAGACCTCCACACCCTCCCCTCCACCCATCCTTAACCCAAACTCTACCTCAGCCCCTGTCCGGACTTCAAACGTTACAGACAAACCGGTGCAGTCCCCCTCCCAGCGGAGAAACCATCTGACTCGCCCGGGTTCTCGCTCTCCTCAGACCTCACCATCGTCCTCACCATCGTCCTCCTCGTCCCCCAGCCCCCCCTCCTCCCCTGCCACCCTCAGCCCCGATCTGAAGCTGAAACTGGAGGAACTGCTGGGGAAGTACCCCAACGGCTTGTGGGCCCACGCGCTGCCCAAGCTCCTCCAGGACACCTACAAAGTCAGTAAACGTTTGTAACACTGTAGTAGATTTACTCAAGGACTGTAATTATGTACAATTTTGAGGGACCAATTTTTTGCAACTTTGTAATTTTAACCCACTATAAATCAGAGTTAAATGATATACTTTTACTTCAATACATTTATTTAGTACATTTAGTTACTTTGCAGATTTGGATCAATGATATGAAATATAATCAACACTAAAGTAAAAAAATGTTTAAACCTGGAGTACATTTCTACCCCTCAGTATACAAAGTCATTCAAACTAGCTGCATCTTTACCAGCTTTGAGAACACTTTAATGATCAATCATTATTATCAGAACATATCATATATATTATTCTGAAATTGACCAATCTGCATAATAAGTACTTTTACTTTTGGTACTTTAATTATATTTTGATGCTAATACTTTTCTACTTTTACTTGAGTAACATTTTGACTGCAGGACTTTTACTTGTAACAAAGTATTCCTACATTCTGGTACTTATACTTTTACTTAAGTACATTACCTGAGTACTTCTTCCATCCCTGCATGTTTTATTTAAGTTCACATATATATTTTCTATTTCTTTACTAGATCAAACTGCCCGGACATGTCCTGGACAACCTTCACCTCCTCTCTGACATCTGCACCATCGACTACCCGATGCCTGACAACCCAAAGAGGGCCATCTTGTACAAGGAGTGCAGCGGTGGGGGAGGAGAGGATGAGCACTGCAACAGGAGGAACTCCTCGGCCAGTGAGGAGGAGCTGAGGGTGAGGCAGGAGTTGGGGAGGAGGCTCAGTAACCACGCGGTGCCTTCTCTGCACATCCCCAAAGAGGAGTACCCCTCTGTACTAGTGGTGGAGGCCACCAACACCAACGGAGTCATTCTCAGGTAGGTAGGATAAATGAAGTTCCTGTAAGACCTGACCGTTCATACATCTCTCACTGTCTTCCTCCTCTCTCAGGTACATTGGTGAGGGGTACTCCCAAGCCCAGGAGTCCATGGAAGATGAAATGAGGGAGTTTTACCGCCTGACCAAAAGCAGTCCGACTCCTTTGACGTCTCCATCCTCTGGACAACTTGTTGCTGTTAGAGCCGAGGAGGAGGATGAGATTCTGAGAGCGCAAGTCTGTGATGTCATGGCTGACAAGGTCAAGGTGAGAAGTCAACTAAATACAAATAAAAATGTTTCTGGCATGCCGCCCCGCTGAACCAAAAATAAGAAAAGAAAAGAAAGACTTGATGACTGGAATTACATTTTGGCTGCAAAACTACTACATCAATACATCCGTTACCAAACTCTCCGTAACCCGTGTTAAGTCTTATTTATTTAGAAGTATGCTTAAAACAACACAAACCTTGCGTCAGCATGTGTTTTACCTTTTAGCCTTTCTTCGCTCTTTGGTTTTCTGTTCACCATGGAGGCATGCAAACAAAGTTTTCGTCGAGGATTTTTCGGTATCAATTACACTTGAGTGATTAATTTATAATGAAATGTTCCTTTTGTGGGTTAACTATTCCTTAAAGACATCGGTACGGTTTTCAGATGGGCTGTGTGATCTTAAGATGTGAGGAAATGTCAACTGTCTTTCTGTGGTCTTTGTCTTTGACTCTGTAGGTGCACTATGTGGATCATGGCTTCTCGGAGGTGATCAGTAAAACCAAAGTATTTGAGCTGAATGAAAAGTTTTTCAAACTGCCATTTCAGGCGACCAAATGTAAACTGGCAGGTGAGTCTGAATTGGAAATACTTTTTTCTTTATCGTGCGTGTCTCTCACACTCATTATTGAGCTCTAGTTAAATCCGGTGTGTTTGTGTGTGACCAGGCCTAGAGCCATTCTGTCAGGAGCCCTCTGTGCTGAAGAAGTTTGAGACGATGGCAAGTGGAAAAATCCTATTGGCTGAGATTCTGGAGAGGGGACAGATCCCTCTTGTAGTCCTGTATGACACGTCGCAGGATGATGATGTCAACATCAACGCTGCCTGCATGAAAGCCCTGCACGACAAGATGCTCACCAGCCCGTTACAGGTACAGGAGGGTTTGTTTTAGCACGTAGTTGGGTCAGTGTGTGATGTGCAGCACAATAAACACTTATCACTGGCTCTTCGCAGGTGAACAGCGCTTATATGAACGTGACTGTCAGAAGCGTCTGCTCAGATGGGACCGTGTACTGTCAGCTGCCCTCCAGAGGCCTTGCTAAGCTGAATGAGATACTGGAGAACATAGAGACATACTTCCACTCACAGGTGAAGAACATTTAATGTCTGGTTTGAAATGTTTATTCTTTGTTCAGTTGCAAATGTGCCATAGACTCGCAATGTTCACCAAAACACTATTCAGATTTCAGTTATTTGTTATTATACATGCAATAACTACACTAGCATTCTAGCATTACATCTAAGAAAACCATTTTTTAAGCAACATGAGAATGTAAAACATACAATTGTGCAAGTTACAATACAGGGCTATTGTAAATGAAATAATACATATTTTTGAAGACAGTTTCAACATTGAATTAACTGAAATGTAAACAGGACTGTAGTAAAAGTATATGCATAAAAAAAGTTGTAGGTTGTTACAGTGATACAGTAAACATGGGAAGGTTTGTTTATTTTGACTTAATGAGACATTTATTGTCTTGCTGTTAATTTGAGCACCTAATATGTAGTAATACACCGCAAAAAGTAGTCCCATACAAAGCACAATAACTCCAGTTGAACTCAACTTTAAGTAAAATGGAGGAAGGCAGTTCATGTTAATAATGTGTACTAAACTGAGCGATGGTTTGAATACTATTTTCAGATTCCTAACTGCGTGGGTCTAAAGAAATGTGAATCCTTATGTATTTATCAATCTATAATTACTATAACATTTATCATATTTAGCTCATTTAGCTTTATATGTGCTCATGTGTCTGTTAAAAAGGAAGTCGAACTGTTCATGTTTCATTCCAAGATGTTTGGTAAGGTACCATATCCACAGGAAGTAAACACAAGGAGACAAGGAGACAAGGATTCGGTCATCCTAAAAGTATTTTGTAGATGTGTTGCTTCCTTCCGCTGTGGACAGATTGAGATTAGGTTGATAATCTTACCAAGCCACTTAATCTGTTAGCAGCACGGTGGAGCTGATGCTTGTTCTAGATGTGCTACTGATGTCCTCTAACGCTTTAAGTTCAACTCGGTAATGCTTTGCGTCAGTGTTTAGGTAAACACAGTGTGAAGTCTGGTATTGTGTTTTAACAAGGTTAGAGATTTTTCATAAATCTTTTTAGCATGCAGGGAAGTCATCTTTGTATGTCAGTTTCGTTACATACAAATGATGTTGAAGTGGAAAACGTTATTTTCTAGTTGGAAGGAAATTCAGAGAATAACGTTCACAATTTATATCCAGTTTGGTAGTGGGCCGGGAAAATGTATATTATTTATTTGTTAGGATATCTCCCCTGGTATTGGTAACTTTGGATATATAAAATGAAGATATGATTAACTACTTCTTAATTTATTCCACTTTCATTTCTTAAAACCTAGACAACCTCTTTCCATGATGGTGAGCACAGATCTAAAGTCCTAATCTTTGATGTCATTGCAGTGTACACCTGCAGCAGATTGGGTGGACGTGTGAAATGTTTGTGAGAGCTTTTATAGTATTATTCTCATTGAAGTCGTAAAGCAGCAGTCACAAATACTCACCTCACCAATCTAAAAGGGAGTTCCAAAAGATTTAACACAAATCTAATGTTATTTTCTTCTTGATGTTCAAGGTAACATCAGAGTTCCTGGTATCCAGACCCTTCTGTGGGAAAGGATGTCTGGCTCGCTACAAAGGAAAATGGTCCCGCATAGAGGTAAGAAGCAAAGACTGTGAATAGATGAACAAATACACATATGATTTGATGTTGGCCTGACACAAATACATCACAATTTTGCAATAGAGGCAGATGTAATTACCCTGAGAGCAGAGATGGAAGAGATGCAAAATACTGCACTGTTAGCCATATAGCACAACACTTCTGAGCACAGCCTCTTGTTGAAAAGCTATTTTCTTTAATGTCAAATGATGTAGAAAGTCTTTTATCCATTGCTTGAAAAGAGGGGATATGTTCCTTGCATTTTAGCAGTAAAAGTCTATTTAAAAGTCAGTGGGTTATTTTCTTTAACTGTCTGTTTCTGTCTTCAGATCACCAACCTGCACGGCAGCAGAGTGCTGGACATCATGTTCATTGATGTGGGCGTCCAGGCTTCTGTAGAGGTGTTTGAGCTGAGAGAGATCCCTCCTCTGTTCCTCCGTGACCTCATGGCCATCCCCCCACAGGTGAGCATCGAAATGTGAAAAACAGAAACGACAGAGGACTCTTTTGTTTGATCTGTTGTAGCGACACTGTACTGTTTTACAGTCCAACATAATATTTGGGAAAATGACATCCAGCAACCTGTGTTTAGGCTGTGAAGTGCTGCCTAGCAGACCTGGCTGTCAGTGTGGGATCCTGGACTCCAGATGCTGTCCAATGGCTTCGAGAGAAAGTGCTCAACACCACAGACTGTAGTATGAAGGTAATGAAATGCTATTATGATATTATTAATAAGTAAGGCCTTCATTCATTCGGTGCCTCTTGTTTTCTCCTTCCTAATGGTCCACACTAACAATTTACCTTCCCACCAAGGTTGCCAAGGTAGATGAAAGCAAGCGCTGCGTCTACGTCCACCTTTTCACCGACAAGAACTTCCATGACCCGGCCCGCAGCCTCAACCATCAGATGGCCCAGTCCGACCTGTTCAAACAAAAGCCAGATGTGTTCCTGACGAGCGTCAGGTCTTTGTTCACCTCACTATCGAGTACATTCATTAAAAGCACAGTGTAGATGGCATTGCAAGTTATCATCTTGAAAAATCATGGTGGATTCAGAGGACGCAATCCATTCTATGTGAATTTGTCCCTACATTTCTTGGTTGATCATTTCTTTTCACAGCTCTGCCAAGATCTCCACAGCCACGTTATCCTCAAAGCCCCCCAGCAACAGTCACTGCACTAACGGGAGTCCAACGTCAACTACTGTCCCAGCCAAGCCTCAAGTCAGGAGGGCTCTGTTAGGACCAAGAGGAGGAGCAGGAGGCAACACGACCAGCAGCCAACCAGAGACACCATCCCCACCCTCTATGTCTCAACATCTCCCACCATTACTAGAGCTGCCCCCTGCAGGTAAAAAGATATGGGCATTTTTGTCTGTTCCCTGGAAAATTAAGTTTTTACATGTGAACACTTTTTCTTCTCAGGTAACAACCTAGACGTCTATGTATCGGTGGCGTGCCATCCGGGCCACTTTGTGCTGCAGCCCTGGAGAGATATGTACAAACTGGTGGTGCTGATGGGAGAGATGATTCTCTACTACAACAAGACTGAGGAGAAACCCCTCAACATAGAGAAGAATCACATATACGCCGCTAAAGTGGAGAACAGGTGAATTACTCTTTGTGTTCCCTTCTGTCTTTTTTTGTCTGTTGTGGATAATCAGTAACAGGCCTAAATATACATATCTTCTCTTCCTCCTCTCTCCTCTCAGCTGGCATCGTGTGTTAGTGAAGGGGGTCCTGACGAAGGGCTTGGTGTCTGTGTACGAGTTGGACTATGGTAAACATGAGCTGGTCAGCTGCACACAGCTCAGACCTCTGATCAAAGAGTTCAGACAGCTGCCGTTCCAGGGGATCACCGCTCAGCTGGCTGGTGAGTAGAGAGGACGTCCACACCTCGCCTCACCTCGACAGATGGTTGTTACATTAACTTTAGTTAGGATCACGCGCTTTTAAGAAATACATTTTTTTAGTAACTGCCCTATTCTTACTACTTTACTGCTAGCTAACTCCTCCTCCTCAACCCCAATATTTCCAGTGTATAGTAAGTCAGGCTCTTCTTGAATGTATGTTTGAATATTTCAATAAAAGTAAGCTATACCTTCAAACTTTTTCTCCCGCAGGATTGAAGCCGAGGCAGTGGTCGGAGGAAGCTTCCATCGTTTTCAGGAACCACGTGGAGAAGAAACCACTGGTGGCCCAGCTGGAGTCCTTGCAGGAAGCCCCTAACCCGTGGGACAGGAAGTTGATGGTCTTCCTGGTGGACACTTCACAGGAAGAAAAGGACATCTGGGTGCATGACATCATGGCTGAATTTGCTGATGAGCTGACCGAGCCGTAGATCAAAAGGTCATCGAGAGTGTACTAGCCTAGCAGTTGTCCTGTCACGCAAGATACTGGGAGATATGGATAAAGACGTATCCATCTTTATCTATCAGTCTACCATGTAAAGGGACTGAAAGAGGAAAGCAAGGAAAAAAGAAGAAGGTACAAGAAGATAGAAAGGTTTGAGGGAATGTAGTGACTGGAAGTGCCAGAAAGAAGGGGAGGTGCGTTTTTTTAGGATGTACATCGAAGGATGTTGTGACGTGATTTTGAGTGACTACAGTGTGACCTTTGGACAATACACCTATGCATGATGTTGGCCACAAATTCTCAAAACATACACAAACAAATTGCTGAATCTATCTATGATTCCCTCACAGTGTTGTGTAAGTGAGACTACATACAGTACTATATACCACTGGATATGGGCTTTATCCAGAGCAACAGTGCTTTGAGTTTATCCAGTTTCTGTGTGAGTCATTCCAGGGATGCCTGAATACCCCTCAACCCTGCCAATGGGAGCAACATGCGCACAATAAGTTAAAAGTAACTCTTCTCTTGCTTGGAGGACTTATACACTTGTTTACAGAATCTGCTATTTGGATGGTATTTCTGAAAAGGTTTTCCAAAAGTCAGAGCAAACATTCCCATAAAAGGAGAAGAAATAGACTAATTATGGGAGACAGGCATACCGTACAAAGACCAGTAGGTAGTTTAATTAATGTTAAACTATACATTTTTTGTATATGTCTAAATGAACATTGTTAGTTGTTCCATTTTAGCACATGCATGCTGACACAGAGTCTGCTGTATCAGTTGTTTTTAGTAGAGGTGCATCATGGCAATGCAAGTACAGCAGGAGACAATGGGGAATTTGAATAGCAAATTGACACACAGAGACTTGAGATCATGGATCTCTTCTCCTCTGAAACACAGATTTGAGTATAATCCTTTATAATCTGTTCTGTTCTTTATCTGACAACGAGACCTTCATTTTACCCGGTAACATGTACTGCATGTTGCAGATATTTCTTAATCGTGAACATAGTGATAATGTATTGTTTTAATGAGAAGCAGATTAAGTTACCAGTAGTTATAAGCTTTAAGATATTCAAATAGGAGATACGTTTGCTTATTATTGGCTCTTTGGGTACCAGATAATGTCGGCCAGATTTTAGTCTGAAATGTGACTTTTCTTTCCGCACATGTTTTTTCAAATTCTAAAGACAGTAAACCTGACAAAGCTCAAAGCTGCATTGTTATTAACTTGACAAGTGACATGAATGTAACTTATATTCTGTAGAAGATGTTATTATTCATTTATCACCTCCATTTTGTTGTTTGACAATGACCTGAAGGTAATACAAAGACTTGCTTTTGGAATAAAGTCTGTTTGAGAGGTTTAAATGATATGCTATGTTGTATATTACAAAAGTGTTGTGTTGTTTAATTGAAAGGAACATTTTCAACACTCATTTACATTTCTTTATTAAAATAGCAAAACATATTATAACTTATTTACATATTATAACCCTGCAAAACAGCATGCTCCACATTTGATGCAGTCGCGCAGCATATTTCCAACTCCTTTTACAATTCATACAATTATTACAGAGTGAGGCACACATTATATAGATGTCTATACCAACATTGACAAACTCGCAATATAGGCTCATAGTTATCTTAATTATATATGGAATAATTCAGGAGTGTATCCCTTCCTTCTCTTGTAGCAGCTAGCGAATAGAGAGCATCATCACAAACTCTGAAGAGGAGAGACAAGACAAAACAGAAAGTTGGGTCAGTGCTGAGTTATCTGCCATATCGCAAAAAAACTATGTTTAGCAGCAATGCATGAAATGAAATATACGATCTTATTCTCACCTTCAAAGTCGATGGTTCCATCTGCGTTAATGTCCAGCTCCTTTAAGATCTCCTCCAGCTCTCCTTTCTTCAGCTTCTCCCCAAGCATCGTCTTAATCGCCTCCTTCATCTCGTCCTGGGTGATCCTTCCATCTCCATCAAGGTCAAACTTTTAAAAACAACGAAAAGGTGACTTTGCTTTTATTTTAACTCTCAGTACAATTGCAATACAATTCCATTTGTTGTAATGTATCTAATTCTGTCAAATGTAATTTTCAGTTGACTCACCTGTAAAAAGGCGGACTGGAGCTCCTTGAGTCCCAGCATGTGAGCGGTCTCACCCATCATCCTGGGTCCCATCAGCTCAATAAAGTCCTCAAAATCCATCAACCCGCCCACTGTGGAGAGACGCAGGTTTTCAAGCCATTTTGTTTGCATATGTATCGGTTGTCATTTTCTTTTAATTGATGTGTTTTTTGGCTCACTTCTCATCTTGATCTGTTGGACTATCTCCAGCAGCTCCATCTCTGTGGGCATGTATCCCATAGTCCTCATGCATTCAGCCACATCCTTGTAGTTCAAGTAGCCATCTTGATCATAGTCAAACTCTTTGAAAGCCTCTTGCAACTCTGAACAGAAAGGTCAGGTGTTACAAATTGAGTAGAATAGCTTTAGCAGTGGTTTATCAGATTAAATAATGGAGGTTTTAAAGCTTTTTTATATTACTTAAACTGCAAATATAATGGCTGTAATTGATAATGTGGACACTTACCATCCAACTCAGCCTGAGCCAATTCTCTCTCCTGCAGAAAAAGAAAAAGTGAAATTGAAATCTATCTGTATTTTTAGGAAAGTACATGCAAGCTGTGCACATACTGCCAATGTATCTTACTTACTTGATTTGAATGTGTTGAAAGTACTTTATAATTCATAAGCATGCGATTTAAGATCAGGTGTGTCAGAACAAAATAAAGGGGACAAACATAGAGGACAATTTGCAGATAAATTGGTTTCTGTGCGATTGAAAAGGTAAATATTTTCAAGTTGAATCCACCCAGTGCTCCTCATTTGGATAACCTTAATGAAGAGTGGCAGTAAGCCTCTGCTAATGAGCCATTAATACTGCAGACGCACTGGGTTTAGAGATAGCAGCTCGAGAAAGATTAGGCACAACAACTGTAAGCACACTCCTGACTTTCACCTCACTTCTGACTCTAATTTGTTGAGTTCTGACATGCAGTGCCTTTAAATTGCAAATTCAGCTGTTAAACACGTTTGTTCAATACAATTGTGTCTAAGTATGACATGTGGAAGCTAGTTTTGAAAATAAAAAGGTATATAAAAAGGTATATGTCTTGCTGTATAGGTCAAACCACAGGTTCCCAACAGGTAAGACGCTTTCTTATTTGATCCTTTTGTAAGATTTGCAATACTTCATTTATACTGCATTTATACTATACACATTCAAACCCCAACATGTGAGTGTTCACTTACCGCCCCAAAAACACTGTTAAGCACAGAGTTGTATACTACGATCATGCTCTCTGTGTTTTTCTTAGACTTCTTTGATTTCTTGGGTACTCCTGAGACTGAGCCCGATGTAGAACCATCTTTGCTACTATAAGGACAAATCAAACAATAAAAAGCAAAGGGGTAATGCATATACTTACATATCAGTGATTTGAAACAACATGAGTAAAAGTCATTCTTTACCACTCATCAGAGGGACCCACTTAACATGTTATACATTTGGTGGAATGTCAACTATACTGTTTAAATTAGGGCTATGCAAAACATGGCTGCATCTTAAAAACGGGTAGTCTGTAAAACTCACCTTGATGCTGCTGATGCTGCTGATGTAGCTGATGCTGCTGATGTAGCTGACGCAGCTGATGCTGCTGATGTAGCTGATGCAGCTGATGCGACAGAGTCGGCAGAAGTTGTAGAGGCTGTCCTCTCTGCTGCCTTTGACATGCTGTGGATAAACAGAATCAGTATTCAATTGTAACATTCACTCAAAAATCTAAATGTATGGGTTACATGTGTGTATTCTCTAACGCTTTTATGGGATGGGGAACAAAAGTTAGCAAGAAGATGGAAATCATGTTTACAAAAATACTCTAATATGAATGTATCTTCTTTGTTTCAATCCTAATTTTTAATCTCCAACATCCTAAATAAGAAGCTATAGTTATTTTGCTGGTCTTTCCTTACCTTGATACCTTTGTGTTAAATGGCGAGACAAGTAGACCCTTTCTTGTCCTCCTTGACTGGTGCTCTGCTTCTGTTGTGACTATTGTAGAAGACACATACTATCCTGCCTGTTCTGTTTTTCCTTCCCCTATCGACCTCCTTCAATTACAGAGGCTTAACCGGTGATCACCTGGCTAAACATGCAGCCAACGATTAGAAAGCAAATCTCTAAGCAGCAGTGTGAATGATCTTTCCTTCAAGAGGTCAGGTTCCTCCTGGTTCAAACCTTAGCTTCACGTGTCTTTATTCAACTTGTGCAACTCACAATAAGCTCCCAATATTATTCGAGTTTTAAGATGGGCCTCTTAGCCTTGCAAAGTGGCTCCTAGTTCCACAGTGAGAATGTGCTTTATGGGCTGGTAAATTCACTTTTCAGATAGGCAATGAGAGGACTTCAGCACTTATTCAGGAAAGAAAAGACAGACTGAACCTTTTAAAAACAAATATAATACCTGATCACACATAATTTCATGCCAATGTATGCCTTTAATCCAAGCTTAATAAATCCTGAACAATTATAGATTTTGTTGACTTCATTGATGATCCCAGTTGTATTGACAGTTACCAAACACATATAACTGACAGCAGGTTTAATATTGTACAAATAATAATGTTTATATCTTATCTCCTCAACCAGTTTACAATGTATTCTGCCAGACTAACTAGGCCTATTTATACTAGGCTACTGTAGTTGAGGATGAGAAAATGTGGAAACGGAAGTGCACTCGTTGCGCGTACACCTCCATCAAGGCCAGGACCTACTTTATCTCGCAATGTTGAGGAACATGAACAACAGTGTTAACCTTTGATTCGGATAGGCTTAAAATGTCATGGGTTCTTTCTCGGCCCATGTTTCAGTCTTCAACCAAGTGTTATCGATATCAGGCAAGTATTTCTTACGCGATCCTCCTACTGCATACTACGCTACTTCTACGTCTGCTGATGGCCCTTCTATTATATTTTTTATTTGGGATGTTTCTAAAATCAACCAAGAAGGTTTCAGAAACAACATGGAGCTACAGGTGTTGCGTCTTTTTGAAACAATACTGTGTGATACTTTGTATGTCCTTTAACAACGAGATCCGGCTACCTCATTTGCATACCTGCGGCGCGACACAATTGCTACCTTCGGCTAGTTGGGGACTTTTCACCGGAGTCCTCCATCTGCGAGTCGTTGACGTCGACTTCATTAGGATACATCAGTAAATATATCAGCTTTGTATCATATTTAAGAATACCACTCTGGAAAACGTCGTGTACTGCAACAGGAATAACTTTGGAGCCAACTTTTCGGACTCGGGAAATGTGTCATGTCCGCCGTGAACTTTCTTCATGCTAGGTAAGTTTGCGGCCTGGCAAACCAATGTCGTAGCTAACTAAAACCACTTATTTTTAAACGCGTGTATGCATACAGTTGCAGTTGAGAGAATAAACCCGTTATAGTCGACTTTTCTTTATTGTCACTGTGATTTACAGAATGTCAAGGTTGTCTAAAATTGCGACTTCGAACGACGTTGAATTTGAACAAGATGTCATGTTATATCCGCCAGGTGGGACTAGAGCTACACGGGGCATCATCAAAGTAGTTCGTGTAAGTCATTGAATTAGTAGCATTCAAGGCTCGCATATGGATGTGTTCCTGCTGCTCATTAAAAAATAAATAAACAGGTCTTTTGCTGAACAGGAAGCAACGAAAAAAAGGACACATGTGATTACAATTAGACGTGTTTTGGTCCTACTTGACGTACACATATGTAGTGCAATAACAAGTAGTTAAATAATAGACAATTCGAAATACATAGCCTACGTCTTATGAAAAAATAAATGTCAACCAATATACATTTTTAAAAAGTGCAATCAACACAATCTCAATTTCTCAACACAGTTTAATTTACTGTACATCTCTATCCATTTTTGAAATGATGCTTAGTGTTATAAAACATGCAATATATTTTTTTTAAGTCTGACCAATGGGGATGTATCTTTGTCTTTTTTTGGCATCTAACCTTCCTTGCAGGGTTAAGTTTCCATTGGCTCTTCCTGTTTCTAGTCTTCGTAGAAGAGTTATGACTCATAACTCTTCAGAGTGCAGTTCTCTCTGTTCTCCGCGAGAGTGTGCTATAGCTCCGTTTTTTGTTTTACTGGCAGTTAACTGATCAAAAATGACTTTCTTTACTTAGAAAGGACATGCTGGTACCTATAATATGAGGTAGACTTTCTTTGTGTATCTATGCTTCAGAATACATTTCAATAAGTTTAAAGTGAGAGTTACAGCGTCCTCTCTGACCGTAAATAACGTGGCTCAGGTTTTACATTTCTATTGGACTAGATTGTGTCACATGACCAGGAAGCGCTATAGAGCTTCAAATGCGACCACATACTTTGTTAAAATAACATTTGCTGCAGTTTTATGCTCGTTTTACTAATGCACTGTGTTAGTTGTACATTGTTACTTTCCCGTTAAGGTGTGTTGTTACATAAACAGATTTTAAAAGCTTGAGTGAAGGTGACAGTGCAGAGAGTTACTTCTTCTCCTCCGACTGCTCAGTGTTATCGCTTCTCGGCCTTTTGGCTAAGATCAAGTGTAGTATCTGTTCTTATCAGTTTAATATCTGATACGTCCCCTACCCGGGGACCATATATTAAATTGATTTTTGGAATAGGGAGATGGAATAGGGGCTTGCTCCGTCCACTCCACGCATCGACCTGGTATTGCAGTACCTCCAGGAACGGTGCACCCCCTCTCAGTGTCTAAAATAAATGAAACGTCCTGTGGTGTAACAACGTTCAAACCGCCTTATACAGCCTGTATTCGTTGTTGTGTTACTTGTGTGTGTTCCTGGAGCAACAGTGAGTGTTTTGTACAGTGGTGTAAGTAGAACCTGCATTGAAAATGCTACTGCTACTTTTACAGATAAAGTAAAAAGTCTAAATATCTAAATATACTTAAATTACCAAAAGTAAAAGTATTCATTATGCTGATTGGCCCATTTCAGAGCCATATATCATAGGTTTTGTGTATTGATACGTTTGTCATGCTGGTAAAGGTGGAACTAATTACTTTGTATGCTGCAGGGTAGCATGTGAATCCAGGTGTAAGGTACAGGTATAGTACTTCGGTAAATGTACTCAGTTGTAGGTAATTAGTCAGTGCTTGAACAGGAATTTATAGAAGGAATCTGCAACATTGTTTACTCATGTTTCTCTGGGTTTTATCTATCATATCAAGTGTCGCCAAGTCTCATGAAATCGCCAAAAATGTTGATACTTTTAGTACATTTAAATATGTAAATATTGGCACATATTATGATGTATCCCTTTAGTTTTTTAACTCATGGGTAAATAAACCCGTTTTGATGGCTTTATTTGGTTACTCTAGTGAATAATGAACCTGATTATCAATTTGAAATAGTGATCTGATTGGTGACCATCAATATGGAGTATTGCTCATATACTGCCCTTCCTGTTGTCACATCAATTTACAAAAATAAATCCTTACCTTGTACTAAATAATCGGTCATTTCTGTGGCCACATTAGGTGTGTTATTGGGATATTTGATTAATAATGATTAGAGCTGTCAAACTATTAACATTTTTAATTAGATTAATCACAGCTTAAAAATTAATTAATCATGATTAATCATCATATGTCAAAAATATGCCATTTCTTTATGTATATTGTTGTGGGAATGGAAAGATAAATGAAAGAAGGCGGATATATACATTTAACATACAGTATCTATGTTTATTATAAAAAAAATTCTGCGTGTCAAAATGAAAGACAGCCCACACACCTATCAATCATCAAACCGTGGGTTCTTAATTCATTACGTGTTGATTTCTATCAACGGGGGAGTACTTCAGGAAAGTCGACGGGGGGGGGTGCTAGTGGAGTACTTCGTGAACAGAGTGTGAACGCTGTTTTAGCGCAGTTCTCCAGTGAAGAGGGGGAGTCTCCGTCTGCAGCCGGTTGGCGTAGTTTTGGCACAATTCCGTTGTACAGACCGACGTTAACAGCAGCCCTGTCTGTGCACACGGAGACCGACTCTGTCGTCCGGTGATCTAACCGCCTTCTGGAAAAGCTTCATAAGTACGTCGGTACGCAAATTATGCGCTTTGTGACACAAGCGACGGTACGCATTTCAGATTACGCACATAACCTGTTATGTGCACCCCTGTACTACAGCAAAAGTATTCTCCGTCGGGACTTCCTGCAACAACACCACGCCGTTATCTTGATTCTGATTGGCCAGAAGACATTATCAAAGATGTTCTATTGAGAAGACTAGGGATGCTCCGATCGCCAATTTCGGGGCCGGAATCGGTATCGGCCGTAGTGGGCGGGGCCTAAATGGAAGATTTAAACTTTAAATCTTCCATTTAAAGTGATGTTTAAAACTCAGTTAATGGGGCTCATTCACTGGAGCTTCCACAAACAACAATCAACTTAATTATTACATTCAAATGAAGTACATTATTCAAGTTTACATTCACTTTGGATAATAACACGGGAGAGATGAGCGGAAGCGCTCTCTTTTTCTCTCTCCCTCTCTCTCTCCCCCTCTCTCTCTCCCCCCTCCTGACAGACAGCCTGTCAGTATTTCATGCAGCTCACTGATCCAGTAATGACTGACCCAACAGTGAAGAATAAATATATTTATAACTAGTTCCAGAGGTAGATAAAATAGCTAAGTGTGTTAGGTCTAACTCTTGTGTGTTTCGCTGCGCTTACCGGTCCGGCGGGCGGAGCTGCAGGATTTCTGCTTCACACTCGTTGCATACCACTATTTTACTGTCTTTTTCGGACACCTTAAAATAATGCCAGACCGGTGAAGCCATTTTGTCGAGCTTGTTTTGCCGCACACAGAGAAAAGTGTCATGTATTTTACGTCATGCGAGATCGGCTCTCGCGATCGGCATGTTTAGAGAGCACCGATCGATCGGTAGAGAGTGAGTATCGGCCGATCTCGATCGGTGACCGATAGATCGGAGCATCCCTAGGGAAGACGATCACTACGTGACAAAAGTTTTCAAAACCGTTTCTGGTCTTCGGTATTTCCAGACAAGTGGCTACTGAAATCAATCTTACTGCTGTCTGTGCAATTTACTCCGCGAGTTGGCGGACTTTATTTAGCTTACTTTAACATCATTTTTCATGGTGGGGCTAAGCCATTTCTTGGTATGGGTGTAGCCTACCCCAGCCATGCGCTGCCACTGGTGGCACGTATGGGGCGGGCCATTCTGCACATGCGTTAAATGCGTTAAATATTTTAACGCAATTAATTAAAAAAATTAATTACCGCCGTTAACGCGATAATTTTGACAGCATTAATAATGATATTTTCTCTGTCATTCTAGCGGACACTAAAGAAATAGGCGAGGCAGTTTCAGGCCTGATCTGACTGATTGTGACAGAGAGGGGGAAAACGTTGGCTTTGAAATCATCAATGTCTGCAGAGCAGGTATGATGGCAATGTTTGCGCAGGGCTCTTGACTAACTTTTTTCACCATCCTCCCGGAACCGTCCCGAAATACAATCTAAGCCGTCCCGAAATTAATGTGGACCGTCCCGAATTTAAAATATTAGTTTTTCTACATTATCATTAGTTAAAATCATTCAAAGTGACCTTTAACATAAATAAAACGTCATACAAATCATTAGATGATAATTCATCAACCTTTTTATTTGAGTAAATCACATAAACAAAGGCCAAATATATTTAAACAAACACACAAACGAGAAAATTACTCTAATATTGAATCCAATCATGTCCCATCCAATTAACAAGCAAATCCAACACTGTGTCCTGAAGACAGAACCCAGAGTAACCACTAACCAGGATGACAGTCTGTAACACAGTCAGGAGACCTTTACAAACTGCCCCGCCCCCTCGCACACAGACGGGAGAGAGAGATCTCGTCTGGATTGGAAAGCTTGAAAATACATCATAGACGCATGTTGTAGTCTTAATATTGCATATTAGAAATGTAGTTGGGGAAAATAAAACTGCGATATAATGTTTATGTATCAATAATACATATGACATATATTTTTTAAATGTCTCCAGTACCGATAAAAAGTCCGATAACGTCGGAGCTTAACGTTACCACTGTCTTTAATAATTCCGGCCCGGGCCCGTTAATACCGGGGCTCGGTACCCATCCTACATGGGGAGAGGCAGCATATTGCTAAGGACTAAATACGATGGAGGGTTCTCATCTCAGCCTTATTACCCATAGGGGATGAAGAGGAGTAAGTAAATAAAGAGGCCGGCGCTCCAGGGTCTGGTTCTGCTGTGCGTTTTTGTGATTAACGGTAAAACATTTCAGAATTCCTCCACGGGTTGCCATTGTCATTGTACATCACTCAACCCGCGAAATACTAGAGATGTCCCGATCCCGATCCCCGGATCGGATCGGCCCCCGATACTGGGTTTTAAGGTGGATCGGGATCGGCAGATCCAATTAAATGTCATGGCCGATCCATAGTTAATATTTCCCATGATTCCGTTGTTACGTTGTTTGTCGTTGTTTGTCGTTGTTGTTCTATTGCATCAGCCGCCATTATCGAGTTGGAAAAGTGGAACGGACACATATCGTTAGCTAGTTAAAATGTCTGCAGTTTGGTATCATTTTAAAATAACTACAAGTGAGTCGCCGACTGCGACATGCAAAGTCTGTGGTGTGGAAGTCTCACGAGGTGGTGCTAACAGGATCTCCTACAACACCACAAACCTAATAAAACATCTTAAAAAGCACCACTCCGACGAACACACTGCCTACTGTAAAGCGACAGCGTCTGCGACTGATGGACTCCATCAACAAACACTGCGGGACAGCTTGAAACGAAAGGCTTTACTTCCTCGAGACTCCGAGCGATTTCGCAAGATTACTGAGCTGATTGTGGAGTGCATAGCAGGGGACGACCAGCCAATTTCACTTGTGGAAAACTCCGGTTTTGTCGTCTAATAAATTATTTGGGTGCCTGTCTATTTCTTAATGTATACGAAATTAAATGCTGTTTGCCAACACAAAAAGTGATATCGGAAATCGGTATCGGAAAACCGGTATCGGGAAATATCGGGATCGGAACCTATATGAAAATATCGGGATCGGAAGCTAAAAAATGAGATCGGGACATCCCTACGAAATACACACACTCAGAGCCATATAATAGATATATGGCGCTGCATACACTCAGTACATAGCTAGACCCGCAAATTTGCGGGCCAGGAATTCGCGGGCACAGCTGTAGCTACGTACTGCCTGTGTGTGTGTATATCGCGGGTTGCTAAATGTTTTGTGCGTGTGTGTTTATGTTGACAAGGAGGTTTAATAACTGTGTGCTAGACAAAACGTGCAGTCTGTTTCATTTTCATCGCCGTTTGTAGTAGAGTTAGCAGGGTATTTTTATTTGAACTCTCGTCCCAAATTCGTCCCAAAATTATTTTTTATCCTCCCCGACACCATTTTTTTCGACGACGGGACGTTCTTAAGCTCGAGCCCTGGTTTGTGTGAACGTGTCTTTTTTAGTTTTTGTGTGCATCTGAACACATTTTTAAAGGAACAGTTTGACATTTTGGGAAATGTGCTTGTTGTATTCTGTTTGTTTAAAGTTTCCAGGCGGTGCAGACAGACCAGAGGATGCTGACTACGAGAGACAGACCTATATTCCTAACATCAGTGAACTTCAGCATGGATTCAAAGGTACAAAGACCCCTTTCATACTGTACAAAGAATCGAGAAACATTCTGGTTTAAATAGATAAAGGAACAACTATAATACACTGATATACATTCCATTAAACATGACTAAATACTGACATCAGGGAAGTTGACTGTTCCTTCCTTGCAAAAAGTTACATTTAGATTTGAACAAGCAACATGATTTTGTTGAGCTTCTCAGTCTGTTAGCTTTCACATTTCAATGTATTTAAGGAAATTATTATTTTACTATTGTGAAAATTACTACCATTTGTCTCTATATATTGTCACTGCTGAGCATGTTAGCTTAGCTTGGTAGCCTCAGCTAGCTCTGGAACTTCCAGCTCGGTGGCAGGAGGTCCCGCCTCTTTGCCCTTATTTGGAGCAGGCGGGAGTTAGAATCTGACGTCACTTTTGAGCCATTAGTAGCCGACACCGCCTACTTTAGGCTTCTCAGCAACTCTGCAGAATCCTATAGGTGACGTCACGGACACTACGTCCATTTATATATACAGTCTATGGTTACAACACATTTTAACCTGAAATTAAATGGTGTTTTGTTTTTTAAGAATTCACTAACATCGCGAGACATTCCGACACCAGAGAAAAAATGTGCGGGCAGATTAGTAAACCTGGTGCAGGGGTCTCCAACACGTCGATCGTTCAGTAGCTCGCCGCTTGCGGTTCACAGACTGTGTGCAGTGCATGACATTAAGGATTTTGGGAGATGGCCCTGTGGGCCATCTAAGCTAATTTACAGATGGCCCTGAGCCCAATAGAGATTGCCCTGAAAATGCGCGCGGACGAAATGACGCACGAAGGGTTTGGGGGGCCTCCCCCTAGAACATTTAGATGTTTGCAGGTCTTAGATGCTGTCTGGTGCATTCTCTAGACTGAATTATAAGATGAACCACCACAATATTATATTGTACAATTTTATTCTTCATTTCACTTGTTTGTTTGTTCTTGTTTGTGTTTGCTCGCTTGCATGCCCTGCATAGCTATAAGAAATACTTAAGTTGTTGGTCAATACACTTTCCATCTGATGAAGGCAAATGGCTTCCCAGATGTACACAAGTAGAAAACATTACATTCAGTTATAACTGCCAAAACAAACATTATTTACACTATTATGGCCCCTGTTAAAAATGTTTGTAATGTTATCTACTGTAAAGTTGGTCGAACGAATGCCTCCTCATCCGGAAGCTGACCGAGCAGACCCGAGCAGCAGTCGAGAGGAGCCGAGCGCATCCGCGAAGCACACAAAATGGCGACGTCAGAGTTCCCGTTAGCCGGCAAATCTAAATCTCTCCGGTCAAAATAATTTCCCTTTAGCGCAATACCGCTTCAGTTGCACCACTTATGTGACAGACAAGAAGAGTATGTGACAGACAAGAATAGTCAACTCTAATGTCTAACACTTAATGTGGAGAAAGAGATGTCCTGGATGGGTTGATTGTGCGTTGATCTGTTGGTAATGCCTCGAGGTTCCGGTGGGCATGTAAACAAATGCATAATGCTGCGCTATACTTTGCGGCCTCACCCGGTTGCATAGCGACACTTATTGTTTAGGTGTCTTTTAATAAGCAGGTAGTCCTATCATTAGCTAGAACTAGCTGGATCTGATCGACGGGTGAGAGAAATCAGCTGCTGCTGACGAGTCGACACGCAGCTCTGCATGATCACATGTAGCGGTGAGCGGACAAAACACACACTTCAGGTTAGAATATCACACGTAGCTATTTTAATGACCTCTCAAACTACCTGAACTAGTTATAGATATGTTTAGTTTTACTGTCGGGTCACTAATTACTGGATCTGCAAGCTGCATGATACTGGCATAATAGATTGCCCGAGCTAAATACTAGATGGCCCCGGGCCATCGGGCAGTCGTTAATGTCGAGCCCTGGTGTGGAAATACTCGCGTTAGCACCATGTCAGGTTTTTTGGTAGATTTAATCAATTGCAGAGTATGAATGTCCTTTTACTATTTTCAGACGATAAATACGTGTGTAAAGTTTGTGAAGGCAGGAGGAAAAGCGTCTCCTCTGTTCCTCCAAACCCCGCCCTGAAAATAATGAGTGACAGGCTGATAGTAACCTGATAGATACGTTATTATTAACTTAATCACTGATTGAGATATGATGAAGGGATTTATGTAACAGTAAGACAGAGAATAAGTGTGCACCCACATGCAGTATTTTGTTTTTTATATGCTGTTAGAGAACGGAGTCAAGCAAAATAAATTTCATTTCAAAAATAAAACTATAAGTTGCAAACAAATCATTTGTGTAATCACGTAAACTATACGTTTTTTTCTTTGTTTTAACACATCTTTTTGTTTGCAGTTCTCTTTGCTTCTTTCTCAATGATCAGACTTTTGCTCTCGCTGCAGCTTTCTCATTTTTTGTTTTCAATTCTGACACAAACGTCCCACGTAGTTGGGACTTTCAGGGGTGCGTCCCCATTGGCTACTCAGTTTTTGAGTGACAGCCCAGTCCTCCAGCGATTGTACAGTGCAGGCAGCTGCGGTGCGGTAGCTGAGCTTGGATAGAACACCCCCAGAAGAACCAGCATTTCAATTATTATAATACTACAAGTGAAATTATATGTAAGTATTGATCATTTGTGTTGTTTGTGCGTACTATACGGTCTGTTTCTTTATTGTGTTAGTTAAGTGAGAAGTAAATTTAAAGCTGTGTTATGAAAGTTAGCTTTTGCTAACTTTAGATCCATAACAATGCAAGCTAAGTAGCCTAATAGCAGGGACAGTTAGCTACAAAGCGAGCAGTGAGTGAGCGTTCAGACACCGGCGCACACACTCAAACGGACTCGTGTGAGGCTTTCATGATTCTGTTTAGATATGCAAGTATAAGCCATGATAGCTTATTTTATTAACACGCTAATTTGATGTAAAAATCAATGGAAGCTGAGTTAACTTTGTAGGAAAACCTACCATCCATGATGCCCCTGAGCTGTGTTTTATTTGTTAACTTCATATTTTTCATTTCCTAAAACTTTTATTTTCCTCTCATATTAACAGTGTGGATCATTGAGACAGCGTGGCGTCCAGAGGTCTTATCCCGTTTTCCCACTTCCTCTGAGGGACAGCACGGAAGGGGGGGGGGGGGGCATGAAGAAACACCTGCACCAGCTTCATCCACGCTGGGCGTTGCTGTTATCGCTTGCTCAGTGTCATTTCATTTGACCAAATGCCTTTACATATACATTTAATAGATTTTATTATTATCCACCCACCTTTTTGTTTTATGTCCTTTTTATTTAGAACATTCTTTGAGACTTCATCTTCTGGTTAACATTTCAATAAATGTAATTTGTATAATCACTCTTTTGTCTTTATTCTACATGAAAATGTTAGAGATTCCATTCAAATCTGTTGATTATTCATATATTCCTCAGGCTAGGGATAGTATGTTGAATGTTTTATGCTAAATGTATATCATTTTATCACAGGATATAGAATGAGACAACACAGTTTTTATCCATTGTGTATGAATGCTTCAGCTCTTCAGACCAACATAGTAAGATGTGAGCATGTTCCTAATTGTGTTGGTATGCAACCTAGGTCTGCTCTGTTTAATAAAGCAAATCTGCCACTTTTATATTGTAGAAAATAATCACCTTTTTAGCTTGAAAATACATAGATGTGTTTTTTTTATCTAACATTTTCCCAAATTGGGAAATTATTTAACAGCAGCAGTATGTTCATGTATTAAAATATTTAAAGTTGGAATAAAGTATAAACTACACAACACAAGTATAATGCACAGCAATAAGATGAGTCCGATATGTTCATGAAACTCCCCTGGAGACACCGACACTAACGTGGCCGAGTGGACTCCGGAGTTTGCTGCATGAGTTGCACTGTATGATCTGTGGTGTAGTGGGCTGTCACTCACAAACTGAGTAGCCAATGGGGACACACCCCTGAAAGTCCCGCCCACCTGGGACATTTGTGTCAAAATCGAAAACAAAAAATGTGTGAGCGCAAACGAGAAGAGCTGCAGCGAGAGCAAAAGTCTGATCATTGAGAAAGAAGCAAAGAGAACTGCAAACAAAAAGATATGTTAAGACCAAGCGGCAAACTCTGGGGAACAGCCGGGAAGCCAATACGGAAGTGCCACACACTGCAGTTCATACATGGGCCGCTAGGGACTGGCTGCAGAAAGGAGCAATTTCCATAGACCCCCATGTTAAAATGCCCAACTTTACAGCAGAAAAAAACATGTTTCTACCCATGGATGCAATACATATTATTATCGATATAGTTAGATTCCACCTTCATGATTATGAATCTGTGAGTGAATTGTTTTCTAACACGACCCTTTTATTTATATTAGGTCTTAAAGTTTTTGCATAAATTAGGGCGTGGTCACGTTGATGGACACGTACATGCCTCACTGTCAGCTAACAGGAACTTGTCCACTCTGCTAGGCTACAACCATAGAGGCTACAACGTTAGTTAGTCATAGTACTGTACTTTTACATTGCATTTAGCTGACGCTTTTATCCAAAGCGACTTACAGCGTATTGGCTTCCCGGCTGTTCCCCAGAGTTTGCCATTTGTATTACACATGCCGTGTAATACAAGTTGTTAGTAGCCTTAAGGGCCTACACAGTTGTTATGCTATACCACATTGCCCTTCACTGGATGTATAATGAGCTGCACTAAACTACATTTTAGCATTTAAAATACCTAGCCATTCTTTTGAGGTTATTTTGGTGAAAGTAACTCAAAAGTCATATAAAAGTAGTGTAACTCATTACATTTCAGAGACAGTAATATTGTAATGTAACTTATTACTTAAAAAAGATAGAGACAAAGTTATATGTACTGTATTACATTTTGGAAGTAACTTGCCCAACACTGACTGTAAATATGAAGCTGAATCCAGAATATGGTTAGCTTAGCTTAGCAGAAGGACTGGAAGCAGTAGGAACCATTTAGCCTGGCTATGTCCAAAAAACAACAAATAAAATCCACCCATGGGTGCATCTGAACACGTCATACCTCATTAGCAATTCCTTCAAAAAACTGTAGAGTAATCCAAGTTTAAATATTTTGTGAGTGTTTGTCCATAAATTGTTCCTGATAATGTTGTGTTGCTTTTTAGTGAAGCCTAACATGCAAGTCTGTCAAAGTTTTCTGAAATCTATTAGAAAAGTATTGGCATAAATATATACAGACTCATTACGCAGATTGGCCCATTTCCGAATAATATATTATTGATTATAATATTGATGCATTAAAGTGTGTATCAGCAAGCTCGTAAAGGTGCAGCTAGTTTTAATGAATGTGTATACTGCAGTACCTTGGGAATTTACTTCAGGTGTAACTAGAGCAGTGGTTCTCAAACCTTTTCTGTCAGGCTTTGGAGAAAAAAAAAAATTCGGGGCCCCCAACACAAATAGTCACGTAATGGGCCATGTTAACATTTATTAAAATACTTTATTTATAAAAAATCACTTTGCTAGAACAGTGATAATAAAACAATGCTCCATAATTCTGTGTGGTCAAAAAAATAAATATATAATACAACTGTGCAATCCCTTCGCTAGAACAATAAGTTATAATTAGGGTTGAATTTCCACGATTCTGATTCCGATTCCGATTCTACTTTTCGATTCCGGTTCTTAACGGTTCTCAATTCCGATTCTTTGAGGGGCAAGGTAAAAAAATGATACATGCTTCTTCCACCAAAAAAATTACATTTATTCGAGAAACTTTTACACAGGTTAGTTTACAGT